GAGTTTAGGGTTTAGGGTTTTGGGTTTTGGGTTTAGGGTTTAGGGTTTAGGGGGTTTGTGTGCACCTCAGCAGCCATCGCCTAAGGTGGACAAAATTTGCAGACCCCCAAACGCCCCCACCCGCCTAAAGTACCAAGCCTTTTGAAGCTCCCTACAAAAACTGCCCAAAACCCAAGCCCGAACCTATAAAACCACCCGAAGGTCCGAACAATGTGGGTGCCTACGCCTGGGTCTCGAGACGGATGCGCAGCGCCAAGAGTGCGCGGCACCAGGGTAACCCTAAACCCTCAACCCTGAACCCTAAACCCTAAACTGCCGAAGCGCGCCCGGAGCTATGAGCATAAAAAGGAGCTCTGAGTCTGGGCTTTGGGGGGGGGGGGGGGGGGAATTTAGGTGTTGAGGGTTTTCTTGGGGGGGGGTGGGGGGGGTGGGGGTGAGTTTTCTACCAATTGCTTAAGAACCCCCCAAAAAATGTATAAATATTCTTCCTTATAAGGGTAACACAGGGATTATTATCTTTCATTTTTTAGGGGTTCTTAAGCAAATAGTAGTTTTGGGTGGGCTTTAAGGAGCTCAGGTGGATATGGGGATGTAAGGGCTTGCGATTATCGGTGAGGGGTCCAGGGTTCAGGGCTTAGTGGTTGTGCGGGGTAGTAGGAGGGGCCCCCTAGAAGTCAGCCTTCATCCTGTTGTTAACCTCGACTTCTACATCTTGTGTATATACGCATCTATATGTACATCTTCTTGTTAATCTATGTGGCTTCTCCTCTGGAATAAACCTTATTACCCTATTCCCCTAAACCCCAAACCCTATTTCCCTAAACCCTAAAGCCTATACTGTACCCTATTACCCTCTTACCCCATTACCTATTACCCTTTTACTCTATTACCCCATTACCCCATTGCCCTGTTACCTATTACCCTAAACCCTAAACCCTAAGACTTCGCAACTCTTCGGATCTTTGCATGCGAAGCTCGCGGCAATCCATTCTCCAAGCTAACCCGACCCCAAAGGAAAGAAGCAGAGCAAGTAATCCAGGTAGTTGTATAATACTAATACTATATTAACACAACCATGTAAAGGGATCTAACCATATACTAATATGGTGATATATAGGTCTACCAGAGAAGAAGCTCTGACAGAAGCCCCAAACACCCGAATCATAAACCCACCCGACCCAAGATCCTCCCCTAAACCCTAAACCCTGAGCCCTTAACCCCAAGCCCTAAACCCTAAACCCCAGACCCTAAACCCTAAACCCTAAACCCTAAACCCTAAACCCTAAACCCTAAACCCTAAACCCTGAACACACCGACCGAGAGTCCCCAAACTTCCTGCGCCAGGATTTCAGCCCAAGCGCTCGGGCACAGGGGCAAAAGTCCTTGTGGGGCTCGCCGTGCGGCTTACGGCGTTTAGGGTTTAGGGCTGAGGGTTCAGGGTTTAGGGTTTCGGGTTTAGGGTTTAGGGTTTAGGGTATGGCTTGAAGCTGTTTCCCTGAACCCTAGCTAGTAGAAAGCCTTTGTCCCTTTTTGGCGCGCTCTCGGCTTCCATTGACAACCCTGTTCGACCGACCCCGCTCTTTTGGACCCAGAGTCCCTAACTTAGGGTTTGGGGTTTAGGGTTCAGGGTTTAGTGTTCACGGTTTACGGAGCGTCCATGTACCTCACTATTATGTACTTGCGCCCCAAAGTCCCTAAGTTGGAGGTGCTTTAAGGCCCAAGTATTCCCTATTTAGGTACATGGACCCTTAGGGAGTAGGCCCTTATTCCTCTCTTTGTTTGTGGGTTCGGGTTCCCCTTGAAGTGCCTTGAAACCAAAAAAACGGGTACCCTGTTTATTCCTGGGTTACTCTTGGCGTCCAGCAAAAGGCACCCTTTCAGTCTTTGGCGACTGGGGGAGCCAAGCCAAATTGTGCCCTAAGCCAGAAGGTTTGGGGTTCAGGGTTTAGGGTTTAGGGTTTAGGGTTTAGGGTTTAGGGTTTAGGGTTTAGGGTTTAGGGTTTAGGGTTTAGGGTGATCTAAATGAGTTGCCCTTGTCGCTCATACTCAACTAGAAGGAGCCGAGATCCCCAAAAGAGCCCATAATCTCCAGAAACCCTAAACCCTAAACCCTAAACCCTAAACCCTAAACCCTAAACCCTAAACCCTAAACCCTAAACCCTAAACCCTAAACCCTAAACCCTAAACCCTAAACCATAACCCTAAACCCTAAACCCTAAACCCTAAACCCTAAACCCTAAACCCTAAACCCTAAACCCTAAACCCTAAACCCTAAACCCTAAACCCTAAACCCTAAACCCTAAACCCTAAACCCTAACCCGGACCCTCTCCCCACCCCACATGACTTGCCGCTTAGTACAGTTTTGGACTGCCAGACCCTTGAGCCCCTTGTCTAAAAGCCCTTTTGGGCTTAGGGTTTAGGGTTTAGGGTTTAGGGTTTACAGTGTAGAGGGACAAATAGAAATGATTCTGGCGCCTGTATTGCGACCTTTTGGGTTTAGGCTTCAGGGTGTAGGTCTTAGGGTTTAGGGTTTAGGGTTTAGGGTTTAGGGTTTAGGGTTTCCCTCAGAACACATCCAAGACGGACTTCTCCAGTCAAACCCATATCCCGCAGCCCAAGCAAGAAGCCTAGGGGTCTCAGGCTTGGCTTTAGGGTTTAGGGGTTGTAGGGTTTAAGGCTATAGGGCTTATTCTAGGGTTTCGGTTTTCGGGTTTCGGGCTAATTTTTCGGGTCAGCCCTTTCATGGACCATACACTCCCCGTTACTTTTCCAGAAGGAACCCTGAACCCGTTAAACCCTAGAAACCGCACAAGCCCTACCAGAAGCCGAATTTCGCCTCCACTGAATCTCAATGTCGAGCTCGAAAGAGATGCTCAAGGCAAAGCATGGCAGTTTAGGGTTTATTCGGCTTTAGGGTTTCGGGCTTAGGGTTTAGGGTTTAGGGTTTAGGGTTTAGGGTTTCGGGTTTAGGGTTTAGGGTTTCTCTACAAGCAAAAGCACTATAAGCCCTGAAGCACCCCCGCCCCCTCCCTCCACGCGGTCATGCGCGTCTGGCATGACAAGTCCCGGCTCAGGAGGTCGTTGCTCTCGGATTTGGGAGGTTGGAGCAGGGAGTTTAGGGTTTAGGGTTCATCAAGTAAGTCCTTAGAAGGTTTTATTATAAGGCTCATAAAGTTCATAAGGTTCAGGGTTGAGGGTATCAGGGTTATAGCCTAGGGGCCCGTAAATTGCTCCCGGCTGAGGGTTGACAATGTTAAGACCTTGGATACACAACTCTTTTTAACCCTAATTATCAAGTCGTTGAAGTAGTGCGCTTAGTCAAGTCGTGCCATATTTGTACCCGTCGTCATGGCACTGTCGAACGACTGCATCGGCCCATTGACGAGGGAAGAGGCTGCGCGAGTCTCGGCCACACCCGTCATCCTGGACGACGACCTTTGCACGGCGCTCAGCGGGGTCTCCCCGGCGTTCCTGCCTCTGGCTGCCCGCATGCCGCCGCTGTCGCGGCGGCTGTTGCTGCTTGGGGAGGACCCCCGTGCAGTTTCTCCGGATGGCTTGCTGGACGAGTTGGAGTTGCCCCCGCACTTGCGAGCCGCGGCTGCTCGAGGGCTACATCACGAGCACTCGATCCTGACGGTGCCCGATGCTCTTCCACCGGACGCCTGCGCTCGCTTGCGTGCCGCGGTCGACGCGGACTGCAACCAGGGGTCCGACACCGTGGACGGTGGACCCGACCACCAACTCAACTGCACCCGGGAGCAGCTTACCGATCTCCTGGGCGCCGATGCGGCGAAGAAACTCTGGACACTGCCCTCAGCGTTTGCTGCGCTGCACAAGGACGTCGACATCGGAATCGACGACGTTGCCTCGGAGGCCCTTGACGATCGCTACCTCCAGATTTTCATTCGGAGATATTCCGCTGAAACTCGTCCTTGGAATCCATTCCACACGGACGGTTCTGCTCTGACCATCAATGTCGCCCTCGAGGACGACTCGAACTTCTCCGGGGGTGGCCTGGTCGCATGCACCGCCGGTGAGATCCGGTTCTTGACACGCCGTCGCGGGGAAGCGACGGTGCATTCCTCCACTCTGCTGCACGCCGTGGCCCTCATGAAGGGAGGAGTTCGATACTCCCTGATCGTGTTCATCGGGCTGTCGCAAGCCAGACCAGCCGAGCTTTCGTTTGGGCAGATGACCGATGGGGCGCACCCGACCTTGAGGACCGGCACGCTGGGATCTCTGGGAGCAGTGGGAGCATCACGTGAGGAGGAGGCCGCAGCGCTTCACACACTGATGAAGGACGCCGAGTTCATGGAGCTCTGTGTCGTCGTTCTTGGGCCTGAGCGGGTTGCCGGCATGCAGAAGACGTATGGAGGACTCTGTGGGGACGACGGTTCCTATGGGGGACAGCATCAAGGACTGGGCAGCCCTGGCAAGGAAATCGAGCAAGCCGTGCTGGGCTGCGCCGCGCCGCACTTGCGCCCTCTGTCCATCCTATCCCGGTCCAAGCTGTGTATGAATGAAGAGGATGGGACGAAGTCTCGTTCCCTGTGCTGCTGGTCGATGCTCGCGCTGATGACTACCATCTCTCAAAACGCCTCGCGTCTGACCGCTCGGGAGTAGAACAGACTTGGAGGATAGGGCCGCTTCAAGCCGGGCTTCGAGCGCCCTCGGAATCTTGAACCCTGAACCACCTCGAACCCACTACACCCTATAAACCCTTAACCCCTTAAACTCTTAAACGCCCCAAACGCCCCTGAACCTCCCACTTTATGTGAAAACCCCTAAACTCTACACCCCAAACCTGCGGGAAGCTCCTAGACCCCAAGCCGGGCCCCAGGCCCTTCAACCGACCCCAAAACCCTGAACAAACTCTCAACCCTAAGCTCCCAAACCCCGTAAGCCCTCAAGCCGATCCCCCAAACCCTAAACCCTAAACCCTAAACCCTAAACCCTAAACCCTAAACCCTAAACCCTAAGCCCTGAAATGTCTCTCCAGGAGCGCCATCGCTCGATCCTGGCCCTTGCGGAGCATGGTGGAAAAGCCTGCGAGGGTCCCCTTCCCAGCGGGTTTGGGGTTTGGGGTTTAGGGTTTGGGGTTTAGGGTTTGGGGTTTCGGGCTTGGGGTTCAGGGTTTAGGGTTTAGGGTTTAGGGTTTGGGGTTTAGGGTTTGGGGTTCAGGGTTTGGGGTTCGGGTTTGGGGTTTAGGGCTTGGGGTTTACGGTTTGGGGTTTCGGGTTTCGGGGTTGGTTGGGGTTTGGGGTTTGGGGTTCAGGGGTGTAGGGTTTGGGGTTTAGGGTTTTGGGTTCAGGGTTTAGGGTTTGGGGTTTAGGGTTTGGGGTTCAGGGTTTGGGGTTCGGGTTTGGGGTTTAGGGCTTGGGGTTTACGGTTTGGGGTTTCGGGTTTCGGGGTTGGTTGGGGTTTAGGGTTTAGGGCTTGGGGTGTACCCACCCCCCCTCTCTTGCGCCGGCTTAGGGTGGGTTTTTTAGGGTTTCAGGTTTAGGGTTCAGGGCCCCATTCCCAGGATTTGGGGTTTAGGGTTCCAAAAGCGACCCCCCAAAAGAATGGGTACCCCTACTTTCGTAAAGCCCCCATGTGGGGTTTGGGGTTTAGGGTTTAGGGTTTAGGATTTAGGGTTTAGGGTTTAGGGTTTAGGGTTTAGGGTTTAGGGTGTTGAGGTGGTTGCTCCGGCCTGTGGATGTGGCTTTCGCAGGGTGTCTGGTAGCAGTCACAATAGCATCCCCGGAGTGAAGGGTGTCGGGTTTAGGGTTTAGGGTTTAGGGTTTAGGGTTTAGGGTTTAGGGTTTAGGGTTTCTTAGTAGCTGAATCAGTGCGCTTCTCACTTTTCGAGATACTATAAATCCCCTATAGAACTGAAAGTGTGCACTTTCTTGGGGCTGAATGAACTCAGCAACTAAGAATATAGTTGATATAAGAGACAACAGATTTCACGAGCCGAGCCCCTTGGCCCTGTTGCAAGGTGTTGTAGAAATGGGGCCACTGGATGTGAGGAAGGGTTTAGGGTTTAGGGTTTAGGGTTTAGGGTTTAGGGTTTAGGGCTTAGGGCCTTCCAATTTCATAATGCCTGGTAGCAGTGTTGCCCTGCCTCTATGGGCACCTAGGATATTCTGAGCCTAAGGTCTTTTGGGAGGGTGCCATTCAGCCCGAACACCCTAAACCCTAAACCCTAAACCCTAAACCCTAAACCCCAAGAAGCTCCAACACCCCAACAAAATCCTAACACCATTACTCCCCGAGCTGCAGGGGTTTAGGGTTTAGGGTTTGGGGTTTAGGGTTTGGGGTGCCTTTAGGGTGCCTTTCGCAGGACCGGAGAGGGTCGTCAGGACCCGCCCTTGCCGCCATGTGTGGAGCCTCCTTGGGGACTAAGTGAACCTCAAAAGTGTTTAGGGTTTAAGGTTTAGGGGCCAGTTTAGGGCTTAGGGCCAGAGTTTTCGGGTTTCAGAAAAGCTGAAGGGACATGGAAAATGGCTTATGTACATATGTTCATGGTACTGAGGGTGGCCTTTGGGGTATGTTCTCCCAAAACCAAGGCCCATTTTGCCCCGAAGGTTTGTCCCTAAACCCTAAACCCTAAACCCTCAACCCTCAACCCTAAACCCTAAACCCTAAAGTGTTCATCCTGACCGTTTGCATGTGGGTTTTTGGTTCGAAGCAAGGGTCCGGTTTCGGGTGAACCGGTATGAGTCCGAGGGCTTAGAGTCTTCGAGGTTAGGGTTTAGGTTTTAGGGTTTAGGGTTTAGGGTGTTAGGTTTAGAGATCCCATCTGCGTTGCGTGGGTCGACAGCCGCCAGCAGAGGGACATCGGCTTGGCAAATTTCCCATGCATGACACAGTCTGTAGTCCTATACACGCTCAACACGAGACCCGAACCCCTTGGTACACGCCTACTACAGAGCCCGCCGATTACAGAGCCCTTTTGACCATTTTGGGTACTCTTCCCTCGCTCTTCGGGCGGTGTGAATGCCCTCCAACACCCAGCCACAAGCCATGCCTGGGAGTTTGGCGTTATGCTTTAGGGTTTAGGGTTTAGGCGTCTGGGGCAATTTTGGGGCAGCAAGCTCCACTCGCCACTCCGGCGGAACCCTCTTGTTTTCAAAGAGCGCTTTGTTCTCACTTGGCTGTGGTACTCATAGGGCTGCTGTCAGAACAACGCAACCCGGCTCATGGCCGGGCAAACCTTGGATGATGGCACGGAGGCGCGATGCCCGGGCTTGGGTAGGATTTTGTGAGCCCGTTCGCCGATAGGGTGTAGGGTCCACGGTATAGGTTTTTAGGATTTCAGGCAGTGAGTGGTGCTTATGCGCGGCTTCAGGGAAGTGAGGGGAGCTGCACTTGCCACCTTGGGTCGTTGGAGCATTGTCGTTGGGCTTAAGTTTATGCAGGGTTTTTCTCTCTGAACATAAGCACTTACCAGCTTAACCAGAGCTGCAAAAAAACAATTAGAGACCTTCGCTTCGAGGGGGAACGTCCTCGGTTTGGGTTGAACATCCTACACCGGAAATCCAGAAACCCTACTCAGCCCTAAGGCCTAAAACCAAACCTAACGTGTTTAGGGATTAGGGTGACGCCCTTGGCTGCTTCCCCCCACAATCCCCCTAAACCCTAAACCCTAAACCCTAAACCCTAAACCCTAAACCCTAAACCCTAAACCTCCCCCACCCACGCCGCAGGTAGCCATCCCACTCCCGGGAAGCTGGTCCGCAGGGGTCTCAGAGTGGGACAAGATGCCAGCATTCGCGGACCCCCTCCCAATGTTATCCGGCCCCTGTGGTTCATGGTGCTCATTGCCTGTGGTTCATGGTGGGTTTAGGGTTTAGGGTTTAAGGTGTAGGGCTTAGGATTTAGGCTTCTGTGCCGAAATCGCCAGGAGCTCTCGATCCTAAAGCCCCGACCAAGCCTTGCAATCGATTCCCCAGCTCGGTGGTGTCGTGTGCAACTTGCCGGGGCCCCCGAGCAGTGAGAGGTCCGCCTTTACCTGCAGGTTACACGTTGTACGCAAGTAATTCCGAACCTCTCTCCCTCCTTTCAAAGGGCTACATTCAGTGGAGCGCTGTTGGTTTTTGGGGTATAGCCATGGTCAGAAGTTGCCATCTCTGAGGGCATACACAGGGGGGTAGGGTTCTTGTAGGATCCTGTAGCAGGTTGAGGCTGGAGATCCCAAAGTCCCGGCCTCTTCTAAGCCCGGGCCTCTACTTTCTTCGCGAGCTTCGCTGCGGTGGAGCTGCGGGCTGGGTTCCCTCGCCGTGCGCCAAGAGACGTGCGTGCCTCTCGCCGTGCGCCAAGACTCCAAGAGACGTCTGGGGCAGATTAGGGTTTAGGGTTTAGGGTTTAGGGTTTAGGGTTTAGGGTTTAGGGTTTAGGGTTTAGGGTTTAGGCAGATTGAGCCAGGTTTCTCGGCCAGGGCCCCCCTGGGATCATTGCGTCATCGGAGAGTGGGAGTATCGTTCGGGACCTCGTGTGGAAGCCTCGGTCCTTCACGTGGGCGACACTTGAAGCATCTGCGCAGCTCCCCTCTTTTGACCTTGCTTGTGGGCAAACTTCACTGAGACTCCAAAACCCCTGAATTCAGGAATATATATATATATATATACACATACACCTTAAACTATATTGGAAACCCCAATATGATTTAAGGCATATTCCTTTATTAAGGGGTTTTGGAGTCTCTGGGAACTTGTGGGGGTGTTGCAAAGGCAGCCGTGCATCGCTACCCCCTGCGCGGGCCTCGTAGTCGAAGCTGCCAGGGCCCCTGTGCAGCTTCCGAAGCTTCGGCCGGGCCCCCCCTCCTGGCAGAAGCCCCGGCAGGGTGCGTGGCTCGGTTGGCGGGCTTCCCTTCGCCCGAGCCGCTGGCCTCAGGATGGGAGTCTTGGGCCTCTGCCTCTGCATCTGCCCCGGCCTGCGATCCTCAGCTGCCTCAGCTTTCCAGGGCACACACAGCTGCGCACACAGCTTCGCACTCAGCTGCTGCTGGCCACACGTCAGCTGCACTTCGCCGACTGCGTTCGGCTTCGCACACCCTCCCCCCTCCACTTTGAAGTGCCCCTAGAGAAGAAAACTCCCCAAAAGCAAGGACCCTCTCCAGTGTATGCATCCTATACGAATGCCATGGACCACAGGAATAATGTAAATAGTACAGAAAATAGCACCGTACCCAAACAATGAGAAAGATACTGGCAAAATAGAACATGACAATAACAAATAAATAAATAAAAAAATAAATAAATAAGTCTATAGATACATAGATATATAGATATATAGATAGATAGATATATATAGATATACAGATATATAGATATATAGATATATAGATATATAGATATATAGATATATAGATATATACATATATACATATATAGATATATAGATATATAGATATATAGATATAAAGATATGTAGATATATAGATTTACGTATGTGTATATATATGTATATATACATGTAGACATGGATATAGATAGACTATAGTCTAGAAAGTCCGCAAGAGACTCAGGACAGCAGCGAGGAGGAGAATGTGGATGCGGCACAATGCCCTGCACCCGCGGCCAGCCAGGCCCAACAACGCTCGACAGTGGAGTATTAGGGTTTAGTGTTTAGGGTTTCGGATTTATAGGGTTTAGGGTTTAGGGTTTAGGGTTTAGGGTTTCGGGTTAGGAAACCCCGAACCCTGAACTTCTTATCTTGATTTTTTTGGGGGTTATTTTCAAGCAAGGAGTAGTATTCGCAAAGCAAGCTCCAGGCGCTGGCCATGCTGGCGGAAGCTCCTGGACATGACCACGGCCGGCGAGCGTTGGCTGATGCCGAAGGCTCCCCGCCGGTGCTCAATCGACACCCTAGACACCCTGGAATCCCTTCAAGATGAAGCCCTAAACCCTAAACCCTAAACCCTAAACCCTGGAATCCCATCAAGATAATGAGTTCAGGGTTCGGGGTTTCCTAACCTTAAACCCTAAAATCAACCCGAAAATGTGAACCCTGCAAACTCTGTAAACCCTGTAGACCCTATATCCTTTGGAGCCTGTAAACTCTGAACTCCGGAAAGCCCATACTCGATAAAGCCCTAAACCCTGTGCCCAGGGCTAGCTCTCCAAATTTCGGCCACTCCCTTCTGGCTGCCCCGGGTTTGGGAAAGTTTTTTTTGGGGGAGGTGGGTGGTTCGAACCCCCCAACCCGAAACACCATAAACCCTAAACCCTGTAAATCCCTAAGTAAGTGCCCCATCCCCGGGATGCCCTGAATCCCAAAAACCCTAAGATCCACAATTCTAAGATTTTGGGATGTTCACACCCTTCCTATCAAGCACTGTTAGTTCAAGGGGGAGCATCCCAACCTAAAATCCCCTAAAGCCCACGAAGTGCCCCTGAGGCCCTACATCTTGTCTCCTCTGAAACCCTTGACCTCCTGTAAACCCCAGACCCCAAACCCCCAAACCTTAAAAGACAACCCTAAACCCTGAACCCTGAACCCTAAACCCTAAACCCCAATCCCTCAACCCTAAACCCTAAACCCCAAACCCTACCCACAAACCCCAAACCCTAAACCTCAAGCCCCAAACCCCAACCCAAAACCCTAAACCCCAAAACCACAAACCCCAAACCCCAAACCCTAAACCCTTAACCCCATACCCTAAACCCCAAACCCGAAACTCTAAAACGCTAAACCCTTAAACCCTTAAAGCCTAAACCCTATTTATAAACCCTTACACCCTAAACCCTAGACCCTGGACCCAACCCTAAACCCTAAAACCCTAAACCCTAGCCCTAAACCCTAAACCCTGAACCCTTAACCCCTGGAGCAGGGCCAGGGGCGGCCCTCGCGGCCTTCGCCACCACGGCTCCAGCGCCAGGCACCGAAGTCGAGGTCCGCTGTCTGGGGGTTTATTGTTTAGGGTGTAGGGTTTAGGGTTTAGGGTTTAGGGTTTAGGGTTTAGGGTTTAGGGTTTAGGGTTTCGGGCTCAGTCGTAGGGATCCTCGGGTTCAGGGATTTCGGGTTTGGGTGTGTTGCTGGGGGGTGTTTAGAGGCTTCGAGGGCTGAAGTCCCATTGATCACACTAATTCCTAAACCCTGAACCCTAAACCCGTAGACACCCTACACCCTAAACCCTAAACCCTAAACCCTAAACCCTAAACCCTAAACCCTAAACCTTAAACCCAAGCAGCTTGGCCCTCGGTAAGTCTCCTGACAAGACACTGCCGGCATACCTGCAGGTGGTCGATTGCCAGAGCCCTAACTGTGGCAAGGCTTGCTAGTTCTTACTAGGGAAGTAGGGGAGTTTAGGGTTTAGGGTTTAGGGTTTGGGGGCTTACGATAATGGGGGGTGCCTTCGTGGGTCCTTATTACAAGAGGATCCTACCATGAGGTCTATACTCAGGGTCCCTTCATTATCGTAAGCCCCCACATTAGTTTGCCAATAGTTGAACTTTAAGCTTGTGGGTTTCCATGTATTTAGTAGGAGTAATGAAGTTTAACCTTTCTTTAACCCTTGGGTTTTCGGAAATTGAGATTACGTAGCCTTAAAATTTCCCTAAATCTCCCCGTACGGGCAGGAACCGAAACTCCCCCCTATTCAGGGTTTAGGGTTTAGGGTTTAGGGTTTAGTGTTTAGGGTTTAGGGGTTTAGGGTTTAGGGGTTTAGGGGTTTACAGCTCTGCAAGAAGCACGTGAAAGCCTTCCTTCGTCAGGGGGCTGTGGTGAAGACACCTTAGACACAAGTGTCCACCCACCCGAATTCAATACTAGGGTTTAGGTAGGGTGTAGGTTTTATGGTTGAGGGTTTAGGGTTTAGGTTTAGGGTTTCGGGCTTTGGGTGTAGGGTTTGAAGTTTGGGTGTAGGGTTTGAAGCGTTGCAGACGGAGGCGTCTCTGAGACAGGACAGGTGGGCGGCAAGTCCCTGAATCCCTGCAGCCCTGCAACCTCGAACTCCAATAGATCCCTAAGCCCCAAGCCCTAAACCCTAAGCCCGAAGCCCTAAACCCTAAACCCTAAACCCTAAACCCTAAACCCCAAACCCCAAACCCCAAACCCCAAACCCCAAACCCCAAACCCCAAACCCCAAACCCCAAACCCCAAACCAACCTAAAGGGCGCCAAGCCCACGCGGAGAGCTCCGAGCCTCCAAGTTGTTGCACCAACAAAGGGTTATGGGGGTTGTAGGATTTACAGGGTTTAGGGTTTAGGGTTTAGGGTAAAGGGAGTCATATATGGACCTAAGAGCCTAAGAGGGTTCCCTTGTGCCGGCATGGTCAACCCCCCCCCCCCCCCCCCCCCCCCCCCGCACCCTAACACCCAACCAACACCCTAACAGCCTAACATCCTTTTAAAACCCTAAAACCCTGGAACCCTGAATATCAAAGCCCTAAAGCCCTAAAGCCCTAAAGCCCTAAAGCCCTAAAGCCCTAACGCCCTAAACCTGAAACGCCGAAATGTGGCCCGGCCGCGCTTCTGCCCACAGCTGGTACAGTATCAGTGACTGCTGGAGCAGAGCCTCCAGAGAGCGCTCCGCCCCATGGCGCGGACGGCCTTTTTCGCAGCGCTCGCGCTGCTTGTGACAGCAGCACCTCGGCCGCATGTGGGGTTATTGGGCGCGCTGGAAAACCGAAAACCCTAGCCCTAAACCCTAAACCCGGAACCCCAAATCCTTCCGGATTGTGGTGAGCAGAGGGGTGGCCTTGAGGGCTCAGGGGTTATAGGACCCTGAACCCCAAACCTTAAACCCCACACCCTAAACCCGAAACCCTAGCCCTAAACCCTAAACCCTAAAACCCTAACCCTAAACCCTAAACCCCAAAGGGATCAAAAGGCTTCATTCTGCCTAAGGAATCGCGGCTTTGGTCTTGGGGTTCGTGGGACTTTCAGGGCCTTCGGCACGAATCCTACGTGGTTTGGTAGGACGGCGACCCGGGTTTAGGGTTTTTAGGGTTTAGGGTTTAGGGTTTAGGGTTTAGGGTTTAGGGTTTAGGGTTTAGGGTTTAGGGTTTAGGGTTTAGGGTTTAGGGTTTAGGGTTTAGGGTTTAGGGTTTAGGGTTTAGGGTTTAGGGCAACCCCGCGCACCAATTGAAACAGGCCATGAGGTAGAGACCTTAAACTCTAAACCCTAAACCCTAAACTGGAAGCAGGAGGATGTCGAAGAGGACATGATCCGGGTGCCGCTGAAGAAGGATTGGCCCAGGGTCGCGATTTCGTGTAAGGCTTGACCAATGCCTACTCTTTGCTTAAGAAGCCCCCCCCCCCCCCCCAAAAAAAAAAAAAAAAAAACAAAATATTCTTCCTTATAAGGGTAATATTGGGGGGGGGGGGGGGGGGTGGGCGGGGGGGTAATTCTCTTGTGTAATTTGTTGGGGGGGGGTATAATTTTGGGGGGGTTCTTAAGCAACGTCGCAACCTTTACCACACATACCGAAACGCGAATATAGGGGTCGGAAAAATTGCTCATCATATTCCCTTATGGTCCCTTTGTAATCGGAATAACTGATAGTAATATTCTTTTATGGTCCCTCTGTAATTGTACCATAAACAAAACCCCAAAACCCTGTCCTGGTTTTTCAATCCCCCATATTCGGCTGGAGCCGATGCTCGAAGCAAATTCCGTCCCACACCCGTTTCCCCAGCCCCAAACAACTACGATTTGCTTAACATATATATATATATATGTGTGCTTAACAAAATATATCGTGCCAGTTCCTTTTTTTGGCCCTCACAAGGAGGATCATTTTTTTAATTTCTCGGGGGGGGGGGGGGTTCTAAAGCAATTCGTACACAAGGAGAAGTGGCCAAGTGCTGGTTTTCTAGTGCTCCGGGCCTGAGATTTTTTCTAGGGAAGGAAGACAAGACCCGAGATGGTGCTTTGGTGCCGCAGGAGAGGCGCAATCTTCAAGAGCAAGCTCGATCGGCGGAGTTGCTTCTTGTCGTGACATTTGGGGGTTTAGGGTTTAGGGTTTAGGGTTTAGGGTTTAGGGTTTAGGGTTTAGGGTTTAGGGTTTAGGGTTTTCCGAAAATAGGGGTACCTTTGGACGTTTATGGCCCCCTTCGGACCCCAGACCCATCTTGGGGAGACTTGAGGGCTTGGTGGCCCAGTGGTACCCTTTACCCTTTACCTTTTTTTTGGGGGGTTATGGGTCGCCTTATAAAGCAACCAACCAAACAAAAAGGGGTGAAACTGTTATAATATGGTTTTCTGGGCAACTCAGAGGGCATACCTTAACGAACCCACAGCCTACCTTTTTGTACGCCAGCACTATACGACCCCTTATTGCATTCTTAAGGATCCTACAAAAAAGTAGGTCTTGGGTTCTGAAGGTAGGCATAGGGCTTAGTGACTCGTATCAAACCATGCAGAATCCGAAGCCCTAAACCCAGCTGGCCCTAAAGAACCCTAAGTAGCCCTCAGCGCAGTTGAGCCCCATAAGCCCCAGACCTCAAACCCTCTGAAGCCTCAAAGATTCCTAAATAGCCTAAACCTAAATTACCCTAAACCCTAAACCCTAAACCCTAAACCCTAAACCCTAAACCCTGCAACCTGCCCGCCCCCTCCCCAAAAAAGCAAAAGAGACAGAGAGAGAGAGAGAGAGGTTGAAACAAAAAAAACAAACCTAAGGCATCTAAAGCCCCAAAGACCCCTCAATTCACCCTTAATAAAGCCCCAACCAAAGCAATCCCAGGATCGTAAATATCCTAAGCCCTGAACTCTAAGCCACCCTGAAATTCCCTAAGTTGCTCTAAGGTAAAAAATAGGGTTTAGGGTTTAGGGCTACACCAAGTCGCCCCAAAATTACCCGAGAAGCCACCAGAAATCCGAGGAGCGCGGCTCCCTGGGAGGAGCGCGAGGCAGCGCTTGGAACGTCAGGCGGGGGGGTTGGCGCTAAGGGGGTTTCAGGGCTTAATGGGGTTTAGGGTATAGGGTTTAGGGTTTGGGGTTTAGGGCATATAAGGGTTTACCAAAACCTGCGCTGTTGCCTATAGAAATAGCCCTACTGTAGGATTCTTAGGCAACCTTGCAAAATAGGCTTCGGGTTCTTGTAACAAGGTTAGGGTTTACCCTGAACCCTAAACCCTTTACACTGGAGGTTTGAGGAGCCTGCAGGGCCTTTAGGCTTGCGATGCTACCTTTTTTAAGGCTAGAGGGTCGAGGGATTACCTGGGACGTTCTTTACCTACAGTTTTATGAGTGCTACCTACTAATTACGGGGTTACTACCAAACTGTTGGTGAAAAGATTGCCAGGTACAAGGAGGGGCCCCCTTACGATACTAACTGTAGTTAAGGGACCTATAACCTAATTTAGGATCCTTATAACCCAATTTAGGGTCCTTATAGCTCCACTTATAACTAGGCGCCCCCTCCTCGTAGGTTTTAGCACCTTTGGCTTCCGAGAGCTTTGGGCTTTCGAACTCCGCCGCAGGTGGCACCGCGCGGCTCACGCTGCGGAACCAGCTGAACGCGCAGTACGCAGGCACCCTAAACCCTAAACCCTGAACCCTTAACCCTTAAACCCTATACCCTAAACCTGGCGGAAGTGGAGCTTTAGGGTTTAGGGTTTAGGGAGTGTTTGGTGTGTAGCAAGGGGAGCCGTTCTTTACCTGGTGTCAACTTGCAAACTCTTGAACCCAAAGCCCCCAAAACTCCCCCGGAAACCCCAAAGCCCCCAAAACCCCCCCCCCCCCCCCCCCCAAATGCCCCAAGCCCCCAGAAACCTTACCAAACCCAAAGAAGCCCAAAAGCCCGAAACCTTTAACCAGCCTGAAGTCCCTTGACCCTGAACTTTCGGCCGACAATAGCTGGGTGAAATCGGAACAGCAGCGGCTTCAAAGAAAACATCAGGCTACAGGCAGGCTCCCGTTCAGTCTCTTGTTTACGGTTTAGGGTTTAGGGTTTAGGGTTTAGGGTTATGTTTACGTGGTGGGGGGGTAGGCTTAGGGTTTTGGGATTTCGGGGTCGAAGGGATTTACCGGTTTAGGGCCTCAGCCCTACGCCCTGTGCACCCTTGATACCAAAACATTCTGAACTGAACCCTGAACCCTGACCCTGAACCCTGAACCCTAAACCCTAAACCCTAAACCCTAAACCCTAAACCCTAAACCCTAAACCCTAAACCCTAAACCCTAAACCCTAAACCCTAAACCCTGAACCTTACACCCGAGGCCTTGAGCCTTGAACTCGCGGCCTGTTGACAGTCGGGTTTAGGGCTTAGGGTTCCGCCGGAACTCCAATCACCTTAAGCTCCCAAGAAGCTGGAACCGCAGCATGTTGCCCTGAGGTGGGTTTGCTGCTGAAGTTGAGCGGCCAGGGGAACTCGCCCGCGCTCTCGTCACTCAAGATGAGTGCAAGCCAGCGTGCACAGCTTGTGGCTGACCTAGACATCACGATAGCCGACGGGGCGGCACGGAATCGACAAATTGCCAGGGACCAGGCGAAATCGGCGACGGCGGTCATTTCGTATGGGTTTAAGTCCATTTCTGAGGACTTGTTCCCGGGAGAGGCGAAACTGGAATCGCCCAGCTGGGGATTTATCCTCACGATACTGATCTTCATGGCTGTCTCATCGGTGGACAGTGTCTTGAAAGCGAACATATCCAACGGAGTGGACATGAGAGCCAAGGATGGGCCGTCCCTCAGCATGTGTAATGCCGCCTTCACGTTCCACAAGTTGCCAAAAAGATCCTGGGTTACGTGCGTAAGGTCTCCCAGGGGGTGGAAAGACTTCCTTGGGACCGACTAACCCTACAAGGGCTTATAGGGTTCATATTGCCTGAGTAGGGATGATAGTAGTAAAGAGGGTATGTGACCCCTACTTATATAGGGTTCACGTGGTAGACATGCCAGAACCGGAAGGAAGATGTGATTCCGATGCATGTTTGCTGAACTTGGTAGCCCGGTGGCACCCTTTACCCTTTTCTTTTTGGTTCTGAGTTCCCTTATGGAGTAACCAACGTGAATGAATAAAAAATCAAGGTCGGGTTCAGGATTTGCACTCTGGCTTCACCGGGAGACTCCCTTTTTAGCCACAGCTTAGCTGCAACTAGCCCTTAAATTCGTAGGTATAACTCATGAACCGTAGGGAAAGAGAGTCCCAGGGGCAAGCCTTTCGGTTTGAATATCGTGTCCGAAGGCGGCAGGATCCATCCCGCATCGGTTACGTCCTCGGACTCTCAGTTGAAAAAAATGCCTAAGAAATTTGTATAATTTAACAACTGTAGGGCGGGGATCTCTCTCAGTCTCTCTCAATCTCACACTCTCGCCTTGCGCACACACACACACTTATAAATATAAGTATAAATATATAAGTAAATAAATATAAATGAATATATATATATATATCTATATATATGAAGAAGTAGTTGCAAACAAATATATATATATATATACACACATAGTAATTATAGATATGTAGAGGTACGCATTCAGAGACACATTAGTACATGTATAGATGTCTTTGAACAAGCTGAGCGAATCTGGACTGTTAAGACAGGCGTGATTGAAATTGGCACACCGGGGCAGCCAATCAAGGCCGGCAATTGCCCAAAGCTTCGTGAGCCGCAGTCACATTTTCAGGGGTTTAGGGTTTAGTTTAGGGTGGATGTTCAGGGTAGGTAGATGGGGGACCAGCTGTGCAATTTCGTCGGGGGCCAGTGCCGTGTTGTGACATAGGGGCCCTTTTGTAACAACAGAGTAAGGCAAACCGAGAAACCTGGTGATTTTGTTGGTTCCTGTCATCACGAACACCAGGCTTCCTTTAGGGGATCAATGCAGGACCTTCGTTCCCCCAAAAAGGGAAGAACTATAGTATGCCTTGGGGGTCCGTGCACTGGCATCTCAACGGTGTTATCGCTTTGTTGATTCCTGTCTCTGACTCGTCTACGAAGGGACTCTGGTGGAGATTAGAGTTTAGGTTTCAGGGCCTGTGTAAGACTCTACCCCAGTTCGACTGCTATGTAAAGTAAAGAATAGCACTTGCTGCAAGCCGTATAAACAAGCAACCTACGGCCCTGTCAATCTACATCCTGAAAACCCTGAACAGCCTAGGCTTTGTGTGCTGAGGCCCACATCTTCAACCCACAAACCACAACCCTCTATACAGAGCCCTACGTCCCAAACCCCAGAATGCCAACCTTAGAAGCCCAAAAAACCCAAAGGGTTTAGGGTTTAGGGTTTACCAGAAACCCTTTTTAAGAAGCCTTCTGAACCCTTAAAACACCTGTAGGTTGTAAGTCCGATCACCCCCAAAACCCCTATAACACCCTAAACATTCACGCGACGGTACTCTCAGCGTTTTCCATGGCACCAAATATCTCTAACATCAGGATGTGTAGGGTTTAGCCGGGGTTAGCTTTGCACGGGAGGGTCACATGTAGCCATAACAAGGGTACTATTATATTGGTTTGCTAGATGACGCAAAGTAGGGTACATTATTTCAAGACCCAAGAGTTAGCCCCTGACCGAGCAAACCCCGACACCCTAAACCCCAAACCCTAAATCCTAAACCCTAAACCCTAAACCCTAAACCCTAAATCCTAAACCCTAAACCCTAAACCCCAAACCCTAAACCCTAAACCCTAAACCCAAAGTTTAGGGATCCAAAGCCACGCGCCGGCGGCCTCGTAGGTTCTCTTTGATACGGGTTCGTCGAACTTGCAGCTTGTCGAGATTTAGGGTTTAGTTTGGGGTTTAGGGTTTGGGGTTTAGGGTTAGGGTTTGGGGTTTAGGGTTTAGGGTTTGGGGTTCAGGGTTCAGGGTTCAGGGTTCAGGGTTTCGGGTTTAGGGTCTAGGGTTTAGGGTTTAGGAGTGGAGAGCTTTCGGCCTCAAGGTTCAGTGTGCTGTTTGCAAGTCGCAGGCTTGCTTGAGTTTGGGGCATGGTAGGCGCGAGACTCTCACGCAGAGTAGGGCTGAAGAGTTCCTAAACCCTAAACCCTAAACCCTAAACCCTAAGCTTCCTGGGACTCTCCTTTCCTACACTTTAATGGCTTATGCCTGCGATTTAAGGGGGTAGTTGCTGCTAAACTGTAGGTAAATAGAGTCCCAGGTCGTTAGGGTGCCGTGTTCAGTTCAGGAGTGTATGTAGGCATTCTGACCTGTCGGATTTAGGCTGTTTCTTTTGGCTACAAAGAACATCCTTTTGCATTGTCCGGCAAGAGATTAAAGGAGAACAACCATGGATATTCATGAGGTGATGATCAACAGGCTGCATTTCCTTTGTTGGAGGAGTATTTAAGGGTCGTAGTGCAAGTCTAGGGCTTTTGCATTCATGTCACACGTACAGACCCTATCAGAACTTGCTTATCCCGTTTGAGGATACCGTAAATGCAAGAAGCATGGCAAACGGACTCTAATTATGGAGAAGTCCACACTGAGCCTTCAAAGCGACTAAAGTGTCCCACGTGTCCTACGTGTGCCCTGTGCCCCAAGTGTTGAACCGCCAACGGACCCTGCGCATTACATGATAGGATTCGGTAACATAGGGGCCGGAATGATTGGAATAGGGTTTTGGGGGAGTATTCTAGTATAATTACAATAACGGAATGTTATTCGTAATTTTTCCGGCCCCTATAGTATACTAAGTCAGCAGGCGAGGGGAGCCGTGGCTAGAATACAAGTCAACACAGAATACGCATTGCCTCTGTTACAACATGACCTGGCCGTAAACACACAACAGCAAAGACAAACAAAACAAACCAACAACAACAACAACAACAACAACAACAACAACAACAACAACAACAACAACAACAACAACAACAACAACAACAACAACAACAACAACAACAAAACAACAACAACAACAACAACAACAACAACAACAACAACAACAACAACAACAACAACAACAACAACAACAACAACAACAACAACAACACACGCAAACAAACACCCAGGCAAACAAACAAACATACAAGCAAACACAGACACACAAGCAAACGCACAAATAAACACCAGCATTAGAAATCAAACACCAACAGCCGTACAAACAAACGAACGATCGAACGAACAAACGCGCACAAGCAAGCAAACAATCAAGCAAGCAAGTAAGCAAGCGAGCAAACGCAACACACACGCACACAATATCAGACGCATATACACAGGGACCATAAGGGGATACTACTTGTAATTATTCCGACCGCTACAGTAGGGGATTCGGGTTGAGGTTTCGGCTGAAACGCTGACTACTATTTGCTCAAGAACCCCCGCCCCCCAAAATAGTAATAATAAATGAATAAGAAAAGATATATATATATATGTATAAAACAATAACCCCTATATTACCCTTACAAGGAGGAATATGTTTTTTTTTTGTTGGGGGGGGGGGGGGTTCTTAGGCAATTGGTAGCTGAGGTGGGTGCCCACCAGCTCTGGGCTTCAGTCCCAGCGTCTGCTTGGCTACCACTCCGGGTTTTCCTCCAAGAAGTCTTCTACGTTCCAGGACTCATCGGGTTTAGGGTTTAGGGTTTAGGGTCTAGGGTCTAGGGTTTAGGGTTTAGGGTTTAGGGGCGAGAATAGGGTTTAGGTTTTCCCCCAAGAAGTCTTCTACGTTCCAGGAGGGATCTGAGGGGAGCTTAGGGGGGTTTAGGGTTTAGGGTTCAGTAGGAGTTTATAGAGGTTAGGGGGGTTTGTAGGGCTTAGGGTTTTTTCGGGTTTAAGGTATTTAGAGTTTACCCAAAGGCTCCTATGTAGTACCTTTTTGGGGTAGTATACTAGAATCTCCTATACCTAACCCAAAAAGGAACTAGATTGCAGCCTTTGGGTAAGGTTTAGGGGGCTTTCTATTCCAGGAGGGGTCCCGCCGATCCCCAGCAGATGTGGGGCCGAGCAAGAATGATGAGCCCTGCGCAGGGAATCTGCGGTTTAGGGTTTAGGGTTTAGGGTTTAGGGTTTAGGGTTTAGGGTTTAGGGTGTAGGGTGTCTATATTCCTTCTGGTTTGGTGCTGACAAGGGCCAACAATACAGAGGAAGCCACCACGTGGATGGTTCATCCTCTTGTCTCAAATATTCTCAGAGCCGCCTAAACCCCAAACCCTAAACCCTAAACCCTAAACTCTAAACCCTAAACCCTCACCAGCTGCAAGAGTGGCAAGTTTGGGGAGGTTTAATTCGGGGGTATATGGTTTGAAGCTACGGCAGGTGCCTGCTGCAATTGCCCTGCTCCCGATGATCCCGGCTAGCATAGCTTGCGCCTTACGACAGGAAAACTCAGGAATGGCAAGTAGACCCCTCCTTCCTTTCTTATTAGTAGGGCCTAGGTTCCAAGAAACTACAAGCAAAGCTCAAATTCCCTTGTAGCTACCAGAAAACATGGAACAAACCCTAAACCTAGAAAGCTTTAGAAAGCATTGTTTAGGGTTCAGACTTTAGGGGTCAGGGTTTAGGGTTTAGGGTTTAGGGTTTAGGGTTTAGGGTTTAGGGTTTAGGGTTTAGGGTCCAGGGTAGGGTTTAAGGCAATTCGCAGGATGGTTCCCTGTCCTTCCACTTCGTGTACGGGTCAGGCGCGCGAGTGCGACCCTTTTCGCGCTCCTGCACACCCTTTTGCACCCGGATGTGCGTATAATCTTGGTGGCCCATGGGTTTAGGGTTTAGGGTTTAGGGTTTAGGGTTTAGGGTTTAGGGTTGCAGTGGTAATTACCCTTCTGCCCTTTTTTGGTTCAAGGTTTCCCTACAAAGTAACAAACCCCAAGAAGGGAACCCTGATAATAATGTTACTGGGCTACCAAGTACTCGAGTATACTCGGCTATTGAAGGGCCCCTTGCTTTGGCACATACTCATAGAAGCCCCCGACTACAAGGCTCCATAAGCCCCCAACTTTGACTGGCTGGGTCTGAGAAAAGGAATAAGGGAAGTAAGGCCATATGTAGACCCTTTCAGGCATTCTGTATAGGGCCCTACTTGCCTCATTCCCTACTAAGAACCAGGGGGCTGAACTTTGCGACATTGGGAAATGACGCCATGGCAGCCTTGTCAGCACCGCTAAAACCCTCATCCTAACACCTTATTCCGGCCTACATGCTAGGAGCGATGACCCTACCTTGGGCTCTACTTACCTACAGTCGTAGCCTACCCCTAGTTGGTATAACGTATAAGACTGTAGGTAGAGTGAGTCCCAGGTAATTCCTGCCCCCAAATGTACCTCTGGCAGGGCCCCTGCTGGGTTTAAACTGCCAAAGGGTTCAGGATTTGGTTCAAGGAGGCCCTTCAACTCTTGATTGGGGGTTTTACGAAGTTTTGGGGCCATGAATCATAAAGGCCTCGTGCTTCTCGGCCCTGAGCCCGAAGCCTGAAGGGCTTCGGGTTTAGGGTTTAGGGTTTAGGGTTTGGGGTTTAGGGTTTAGGGTTTAGGTTTAGCCCTGAAACCCCTAAGCCCCACGCCCTAAAACCTAAAGAACCTCATAGTCGCAGGGGGCGTCTCCGGCCAGTTCTGCTCCGATGACGTTTCCATCGGCGGCCTGCCACTCGCATGCCAAAGGGCATCGGCTTGAATCAGTTAGGCTATCTAAAACCTAAGCCCTAAATCCTTTAGGTTCTACCTTCAGAACCTCAAAAAGTCCCTTTTCTTGTAGGGCACCCAAGAATTCAAACAAGGGTACCAACAAGAAGTGCGGGTTTTGGGTTGTCAAGGTCCAGGGTGGAGTGGTGTCAGGGGACTTTATGGGCTTTTGGGCCTGCAAGCCGTTGTCCGCGGGCCCTGCTTCATCTCGAGCCATCTGACATGGAACCCCCTAGACTCTAAGGCCTAAACCCTAAACCCTAAACCCCAAAAAGAATCTAAGCCCCAAACCCTCAACCCTAAGGTAAGCACCCTGCAAGCCCTCGAACTGGCAGGGAAGCTCTTCTGAACCACAGAGACCTCCCGACGAGACATACCGACCACCCTTAAACCACTCCCAGAGCTAAGGTTTAGGGTTTAGGGTTTAGGGTTGAGGGTTTAGGGTTTAGGGTTTAGGGTTTAGGCTTTAAAGTATAGGCTGAGATTCCAAGGAAGATGTCCAACTTCTCTTTCGCCCAAGTGGACGACGTCCGTGGGCTTGGCAGCATGTACACCTCAGCCTTGTCGGCTCCTTGGCAGATGAGAGGGCCAAAATCCAAAACCCATTTCCCTAATCCCGAAACTTTCGCTTCATACCTTTTCGGTTCTCATGAATGTAGGAACATTTCGCAACACTGGGGCTTCTAACTTCCGTCACTCCCTACTAAGAGAAATGTTGGGTTTGCAGGTCTTAACCTGCTAAACCCCTAAACCCTTGAGCCCCTAAATCCCGAAACCCCTCAACCCCTCAACGCCTCAACCCCTCCCAAACACCAAACCCCTCCCAAACACCAAACCCCTCAAACACCAAACCCACCAAACCCTAAACCCTTAACCCTGAACCCTAAACCCCAAACCTTAAGCCTTAAACCCTAAACCCTAAACCTAAACTCTGAACCCTAAACCCTAAACCCTATAGACCCTAAACCCCAAAGGTCTTTGACGGCATTCTGGGTCTGGGCTTCGCCGACTTGGCGCACCGGGGAGTCCCCAGCGCCATGCAGGCGACGCTTCCGCGGACGCAAAGCCCGCAATGTAGGGTTTGGGTTTAGGGTTTAGGGTTTAGGGTTTAGGGTTTAGGGTTTAGGGTTTAGGGTTTAGGGTTTAGGGTTTAGGGTTTAGGGTTTAGGTTTAGGGTTCAGGGTTTAGTTAGGGTTTAGGGTTGGTTCCAAGTCGTGAAAAAAGGAACGTAGATACCTTAACATCCCCCGTATATCTATATATATATATATATACATACCATTGAAGGGATTCTACAGGTAGTTCCCCTCATTCTCTATAGTTATTATAAGAACCAGCAAGTTTCGAGTTTGGGTTGGGATCTGCCAGGGAGTCAACTTAGATTCAGCAGGCACCGGCTCAGTTGGCGAGTATCTGTCCACAGATGCTTTGGCCTTTTCTGTGTAGGGCTGTTCTAGACTCAGACTCCCTAATAACCCGAAATCCTAAACCCTAAGCCCTAACCCTAAACCCTAGTAGTAGGTCCTGGACTCCGTCCGATTGATCCTAAATTCTAAATCCTAAACCATAAACCCCAAACCCATCCAGCGACACAACGCTTGGCCAACCCGTTCCCTCCTGCCTCGGGTCGGCCTAAACCCTAAACCCTAAACCCTAAACCCTAAACCCTAAACCCTAAACCCTAAACCCTAAACCCTAAACCCTAAACCCTAAACCCTAAACCCTAAACCCTAAACCCTAAACCCTAAACCCTAAACCAGCCCCAGCTTGCGTTCGCGGCCCCCTCGCCATGTCCAGCGCCAAGTGGGAGCGGAAAATCTGGAAGGTGGAGTTCAGGCTGGTACCCCCACAAGCCCTAAACCCCTAACCCCGAAACCCCTAAACCCTAAACCCTAAACCCTAAAACCCCTAAACCCCTAACCCCTTAAACCCTAAACCCCAAGCCCTAAACCCTAAACCCAACTGCATAAGAGCCCTTCTGGCGTAAGTAGGAGGGGGCCCTGTGCTGAAGTTCAGGCTGCGGGCGGAGATGCGAGAGGCGCTCGCGGAGTGCCTGGCGAGGGTGGATCGCCTGGAGGCCGAGATTCGGGGGATTGGCCGGCCCCTGCAACGTGGCAGCCCCGTGGTACCCTTTTGCTCTGGGATTAGGGTTCAGGGTTTAGGGTTTAGGGTTCAGGGTTCGGGGCTTAGGGTTTAGGGCTTAGGGGTTCTAGCACAGCTTCCCTTGTAAACGTAAAAGCACACCCAACATATTAACATGGACCAAGGCAAAGTGTCACAGAGGAGCCTGCACACAGAATCGAGGTCAAGGAAGCGCTTTGTCCCGAGAGCTTGTTTATGGTTTAGGGTTTTAGGGTTTTAGGGTTTAGGGTTTAGGGTTTAGGGTTTAGGGTTTAGGTGCCCAGTGCGCTCGACATGGCCGCGTTTTCCATCGACGACCTGGACGACCCGTCCAAGCCAACCGCAGCGATGCCCAAAGTGGCTTCGGAAGTGGCGGCTGTGCCTCTTGGTTTAGGGTTTAGGGTTTAGGGTTTAGGGTTTAGGGTTTAGGGTTTAGGGTTTAGGACCCAGAGTAGACCCTTCTTGGCCGTTTTGGGGGGCTAAGGTTCCCTTGTAAGCCCCTTTGACACCCTAAACCCTAAACCCTAAACCCTAAACCCTAAACCCTAAATTGCTAGGTTGCTCTTGTGTCTAGTGGGTGTTTCCAGTGAAGTCAAGTACAAAAACACAAACTCCGGCACTAAGGCGACTCAAGCCCTCCTGAACCTGAGTCTCGAGCTTGCTAAGACCCTAAACCCTAAACCCTAAACCAGCTTGCTAAGACCCTAAACCCTAAACCCTAAACCCTAAACCCTAAACCCTAAACCCTAAACCCTAAACCCTAAACCCTAAATTTAAACCCTATCTGGGACGTGGCTCGCCCAGAATTTTCTGGCAGTATCATCAATCTTTCCGGAAAAACAGGTCGCCCCCCCCCCCCCCCCCCCCAAACCACAACAAGAAAAAAAAGATCGAGTGTAGGTAGTAGAGTGTACTCGTGTATTAAGTTGTTCACTCTAGGGGTTCCTGGGATGGGTTTTCAGATGTTCTATTTTGTATCTTTCCGTCCGGAGTGGATTCCCAGGAGAAGCCCTCACCATGGCTACTTTCTCGCCCTCTTGATCCCACCCCCCCCCCCCTCCCCCCCCCCGGGGAGGGATGGTTGGAAAAACGATGGGGAAATGGAAACGATGTTGCCAGAGGGCAGGCAGGATGCCGGAGGCAAAAGATTCGTCTTGGTAGTTTGCAGCGCCATGCGAAGGTTTTCATCGTGATGAGAGCGAGGGTGGTAGTAGTAGAGTAGCCTAGTAGTGTAGTAGTAGTAGTTAGTAGCTTGTAGTAGGAGTAGTAAGTAGTAGTGGTAGAGTAGTTAGTAGTAGTTAGTAGTAGGTAGTAGTACGATGTCGTGGTAGCAGCAGGAGCGAGCAGCCAAGAGTTAGTAGTAGGTAGTGTAAGTACTAAAAGTAGTAGTAGTGTAGTAGTAGAAGTGTAGTAGGTAGTAGTAGTAGTAGTGGAAGTAGTTAGTCAACTCAGTAGTAGTAGTTAGTAGTAGTAGAGTAGTAGTCAGTAGTAGAGGTAGTAGTGGTGTAGTGTAGGAGTAGTAGGGAGAGGATAGTAGTAGTAGAGGAGTAGGAGTAGGAGTAGGAGTGAGGAGAAGGAGAAGGAGCAGCAGGAGAGGAGAGAAGCACAGCAGCGAGCAGCCGAGCAGCGTAGCCAGCTATGCAGCAGCAGCTAGCAGTTCAGGTGGTGTTGTGCCATGGCCTGGGGTTATGAACAGGTCAAGAAGCAGACGGAACGGCATGTGCTCTTGGAAGCTGGTGATTGGGAGGTGTTGGCTTTAGGGATTTGGGGGGGTCTGGCCAAGGTCCTTGAGATTCACTTGAGATTCAGGGTGTGTGCTAGGGTATTGGGGTTTGGGGTTGCAGCGACCAGGAAAACTCCCAAACCGGTAAACTCTGCAACCCGCAAACCCGGAAACCTTCAACCCCGAAACCCTAGAACCAATGAGTTTATTGGTTTCAGGGTTGAGTTCGGCTGCTTGACGACGGTGGCACGCGCATGTCATGGGGGTGAGGGGGTGCCCCAGGATGTAGTGGTTTTTAGGAAATTTTGGCGGGGTTTTTTTCACAAGGTTCCAAGACTCCAGAAAATAGGGGTTTTTTTTTTTTTAAGGTCCAAGGGTTTTTAGGAGTGTTAGGGTTTTAGGAGTTGCCCCGGGTTGTTTTGGGACCAATTGCCCCTATGTAGTTTAGGAGGGGGAAGTGGTTTTCGTGTTTTTTTTTGTAGTGAGCTGCCTCTCCAGGCTTGGTGCGGACGGTTCTGGCTTACCCGGGGCTCTTTAGTTTCCTTCAGTTTAGAGAAGTAACCCTAAACCGAAAACCCTAAACCCTAAACCTAAACCCAAACCCTGAAGTGGCTAGTAGGTATCCCAAAACCTGCAGCCAAGTCCAGGTACGGTGTTTAGGGTGGAAACCGCTGGTTTGCGGCCGTGACCGCGTGGGAGCTAGACCTGCGGGCGGGGTTAGGTGTTAGGCTTCGGGTTTAGGGTTTAGGGTTAGGGTGTAGGGTTCAGGGTTTAGGGTTATACGTTTTGGTTTAGGGGGGTTCTGCAGCATGGGGCTTTGAGTGAAAGCTTACCGGCTGAAGGAATGCTTAGGCCCCCGCCTCATGGATGCCTCTCGGGGTTTACGGTTTCGGGTTGGGGGGCATTGGTTTTTTAGGGCCTCTTATTAGATGAATTCAATTAAAGGGTCCCAAAGTATGGGCCTGTATTCAACGGTCCCTTTGAAGGGGGTCTTCGACACGATTACCTAAACGGCCAGAAGGGGTTGAGTGTAAGGGTGTGTGGGCCATGTTTGTAACTCTACGTCTAAAAACCCTTCAAACCGCTTACGTTAGAAACACTTAAAACCCTAAACCCTGAACCCTAAATCCCTAAACCCTACAGATGTCTCGATGGTTTTCCCTTGGAATCGACGGTGGGTCAATGATGCCATCTTGATGTTCGGTTTATGTTGACGGTGGAGAATACCAATTGGCATGGCGGACGAGCTCATTTGGCATCCTCTTCTTCTTGGGCAGGCGGGGCATGCAAGATCCTTGTAGGGTTGAGGGTTTTGAGGGTTAGGGTTTTTTTAGTGGTATATCAGGGGGTTTGGGGGTTGAGCTTCCTCTTGCCGGCCTTTTGCCCTACAGCAGGAAGCCCTAAACCCTGAACCCCTAAACCCTTAAACCCCTGGAACCCTAAAACCCCTACAACCTTAAACCCTACAACACCCCCTAAACCCCCTAACCGAAAACCGCTAACCTTAAACCCCAAACCCCTGAAAAATCAGATCAGACAGCATGAGCACAAGGAGGGCCCCCTACCTATACTAACTGTAGTTGAAGGGCCCTTATCAAGCATTTAGGATCACGCTTTTAACCCAATTTAGGGTTTTGCTGATTACGTATAACTCTACTTCTAGCTACGGGGAAAGGCCCCTCCGTGTAGGATCCCTAAAGCCCTAAAACCCTATGCCCTAAAACCCTATAACAGCCTAAACCTAGGTCTCGTCGACCATGATCCTGCTTGACGAAGGCTCTTCCTCGGAGAAGGTCCCTTTACGGAGACCGTGGTTCTTTGTTCAGGGTTTAGGTTTGTGTCTTAGATATATTTCTTTTGGGTTTGTACAGTAGGGTTTTTAAATAGATGGTGATAGGGTTTGTAAGTGGTTTGATTAGGGTTTATAAACCATGGTGAGTACAGGGTTGATAGGGTGGTATAGGGTTATTGGGTGGTTTTGGGTTTTTTTTTTTTTAGGTTTAGGTTTTTTTTTTTTTTTGGTTTTTTTTTAATAGGTTTTTTTTTAGGGTTAGGGTTTGTGGTTTAGGGTGGTGTAGGTATTAGCATCTTAAATAGATACCCATAAGGTCATATTTAGTGTAATAGCAAAGAAAAGAGGAAAGTCGTATGTCGCGACGTCGGGCTGGTGTGGGTACCCTTGTTTGGCAGTTTCTACTC